AAAACCCTTTAATCCCATGACTAAAACAATTCAAAAAACAAACCCCACAATACCATAAATGCAAAAAATTTTACAACTACCCCTACAATACCAGGGATTTAAAAAAAATTCACAACTAACCCAAAAATACCTTGACTACAAAAATTTCCCAACTAACCCACAAAAACCTTAAACCTGCAAAATTAAAAATTTTAAACCCCAAAATTATCATGACTACAACATTCACAACAAACCCTCAATATCATGCTACAACAATTCACAACAAAACCCACAATCCCATGACTAAAAACAATTCACCCCAACCCAAAATTTCCATGACAAACAACAATTCACAATTTACCCAAATCCCCTACAAACAAAAATTAAAAAATAACCCAAAATCCCATGACAAAAACCCAAATTCAAAAACAAACCCCACAAAAACCATGACTACAAAAATTTAAAACCAATTAACCCACAATATCATAAATAAAAAATTTCACAACAAACCCCACATCCCTTTGCCCTACAAAAAATTTAAACCAATTAACCAAAATTTCCCAGGGACACAACAATTCACAACAAACCCCACAATCCCTTGACTACAAAAATTTCCCCAAAAACTAACCCACAACTTGACTACAACAATTAACAATTAACCCCAAATATGACAAACAAAAATTTCCCACAACAAACCCCAAAAAATCCCCTGTTACAAAAATTTCACCACTAACCCCCCAATACCATGCAACAAAAAATTCACAACTAACCCAAAATACCTTGCCTACAAAAAAAAATTTAAAATTTAACCCACAATTTCATGACAACAAAAAAAAACTAACCCACAATACCATGACTACAAAAATTCACAACAAACCCCACAATACCAGCAAAAACCCAATTCACAACAAACCCCAAAATACCATGACTACAACAATTCACAACAACCCAAAATACATGACAACAACAATTCAAAACAAACCCCACAATCCCATACTACAAAAATTTTCAAAACCAAACCCCCACAATACCATGAACAAAAATTTTCACAACTAACCCAAAATTC